AAGACTCCAGATTTAGCTGCAGCAAGAACCCTCTGTAGCAGCAAATCGTCTCCTTTAGCTGCAGCAGAAAGCCTACAAGACTCCCGATTTAGCTGCAGCAGGAACCCTCTGTAGCAGCAAACTGTCCCCTTTAGCTGCAGCAAAAAGCCTACAAGACTCCAGATTTAGCTGCAGCAAGAACCCTCTATAGCAGCAAACTGTCTCCTTTAGCTGCAGCAAAAAGCCTACAAGACTCCCGATTTAGCTGCAGCAAGAACCCTCTATTGCAGCGAACTGTCTCCTTTAGCTGCAGCAGAAAGCCTACAAGACTCCAGATTTAGCTGCAGCAAGAACCCTCTGTAGCAGCAAATCGTCTCCTTTAGCTGCAGCAAAAAGCCTACACGATTCCAGATTTAGCTGCAGCAAGAACCCTCTGTAGCAGCGAACTGTCTCCTTTAGCTGCAGCAGAAAGCCTACACGACTCCAGATTTAAGGAGTGCAGCACGAGCAGCAGCTACACCACCCCAACTGTCTCCTAAAGACACAGCGGCACAGGCACACGGGATAGAAACAGAAGGAGACAAACTCTCTCCTTTAGCTGCAGCACATGTTGCTGCTACTCCTGATGCAGGGCAAACCAGCATGCAAGCACAACCAAGCCCTCACTTTTGATGCATACACGCACACGCGGAGACAATTGTTAAGCCCCTACCTACTCGCAAGCAAGTAGAGACACACGCACCAAGTTTATACAGAATATGATAGGCAGACGGCCATGTGATAATGTTAAGGAGACTCTTGTTGAGCTTAGTAGCGCATCCTAGTTGAGAGATGCAAACATGACGTGCTTCAGGTAAAGCCCTAATGGCGCATGAAGGCGCTTTACCGCTTTACCCAGAAAGCGAAGAAAAGGACTGTAGAAGCCTCATGAAGTATTTAGCCTTCTCCTCATTACAATAGTGAAGATTGTCTATCTCTGTCCCCTGCGCGCCTCATCGCATTGGGGCGAGAGCAGCACCAGGGCCCCATTGAAATGAAGCAGAATTCAAGCAAAACCGTTTGTATCTGAGGGGAACTGTCATGAGGGGGCGTGGCGGGGAGGATGATGAAGTAAAGGAATTCTTTGCTTGTTTGGAAGGGCATTTTTGTTAACAAATTGCACTTCAAGAGCTACAGTTGTTGGTATTTGCATCTTCTTTACAAGAAAGAAGAAGAGGCAAGGAACTGGTGGTGGCTACGACTAAGGAAGGCCATCACTTTCCTCGCGCACATTCAAACAGTGTAAATTCTTTTGAGATGTGTTATTGGGTTCATTCCAATAATTGCAAGGGCCCCACTATAACAGGAACAAGTACACCCAAAGAAGGTAACCTTAGAGCGCTCCGTCTAGAAGCACCAATGCTTGATGAACAGCCATCCACCGCTAGACTCCGAGCTCCTCTTTCAATGTTCTGTAGCAGGCCTGTCTTATCGAGACAGGCGACCTTTGATTGGCTGTGGGGCGAAGGGATGAGCGGGTAGAACTCAGCGGGAAGATGGAGTACGTACGGGTGAATGAAATAAAGAACGCCACTACAGCTGCCTAGCTAAGGGAGAAGAAGCATCATGCGCAAGTAATCCAGGTCTAAACCCTATGGATATTGGGGCTCTAAGTGCCAACCCTACTCAGAAAAATGCAATAAAGGAGGGAAAACGGCAACAGAAGAGGCCCGCATTCAAACAGTTACTTCTATCGCGTCAAGCAGGGTCTCATAGTTCAAGATTCATGAAATAGATAAGGAAATAGAAAAGTGAATCTTTAGGAAGCACTGCCAGGGGAACAAACAAAGAGATGAAGGATATGTCCTGTACCTGGCCTTGATGCAGCGTGAGACACCGTGGTGGAGACACACAAAGTGATGGCAGCTGCAGCTGCAGATTCTACTAGAATCAAATTTATGCTTATTCTGCTATCACTACTTGAGATATGCTAAGGGATAGAACGGATATATAAATCTAGGGCGAGGAGCAGCAACATACCCGTCCCTGTTTCATTGCCTGTCTCCGTTTCATCGGCTGTCTTTTTAATTGGCACAGTCTCTGCAACTACGCTTTGTGGATGGCTGACACCCCACGGAGATCGATTACCAACTGGATGTAAACGAGGGCTCAGTTAAGAATTACCTTCTATTACCATTATAGAAAACATCTAATTGACGCAAGACACCACAGCACAGTTGCAAGCATGCATGCGGTGGGCGCCTCAGTCAAGAGCATGCATGCAACCCCCAGAAGAGAATGTTCAAATGTATGTGCAGGGAAGCAAGGAGGGAGAGCAGCTTTCAGCGCTGTTAAGGAGGAGTAACAATATACACGTCCTCGCTTTGTGTGGGGAGTTCCTGTATTTCTAAACCTTTTGCTGAGCTCTGCAGCAGCAAGGAGCATGCGAAGACGAAGCCGAGCCTCCCTGTAGGATCTACGAGAGAGTGATGAATCCCTAGGAGCGGCAGCAGCAGTCCAGCGGAAACTGAGGGATTCATCA